CACCGCAACCCAAAGGCTCTTTTCAGAGCCACCCACAACTTCAAAACTTAGAGCTTTAATGCTGCTGGCCTAGGAAATCATGAGAAGTATACATACCCTCTTAAGTGCAGTACTGTCTGTAGGAGTGCTTTGAAATTAGGTTAATGGCATGTGGAGTCCATTTACTGTATGTTTGAACTTTAAAAGAGGATGCTCCTAAACTCTTTATTAGTCCTTAAATCTGAAAAGACCAGATACCAAAGAAATTCAACTACCTAATCCAGGGAAACTTCTATGATATGCCAATAACCTTTATTTATGAATACTGCAATAGGAGTTTGTGTAGGGTATTCTTACTAGAAATGAAACCCCAAATAACCTTGGTATGTTTTCATCTTAGAAATAAGTATGTAAAATCCAACCAGATGTACAGAGAAGTCTTGAATCAGTTATTTAGAGTTGCTTTTTAAAAGTTGGGTATGCTGTTGATGTCATTAGTACAAGCCACCTCAAGTTACACCAGAACAGTTCGGTGCATATCCCCAACTGTTGGTATCTTCACCATCCAGGACTCATGGGATGAAAAGGTAACTGGAGGACAGGGAAGATCACTAAAATCCTGCGTCTACAGTTTGTTGTAGTGCACACCCTTAATCCCATCATTTGGGAGCAGTACCAGGTACTCGTGAGTTCCTGACCGGCCTGGTCATACATCTTTAATCCCATCATTCTGTGCTATACAAAGAGATCCTACATAGATAGAAAGACACACAGATGATAGATTGTATTGTGCCAAAATTTCTAACTAAATGAAATATTGCAGTATGTAACTGGAGGCAGAGCCAAACTTGGTTAATCACTTACCAAGTCTGCTGAGTATTAAAAAAAAAAAAAAATACTTATTGGGGAAAGACTAATAAATAGAAAACATCCATTTTGTCTTCTGGGAAGGAAGTCAATCATTGGCTTTTTACAAAGAAAATGTTTAAGCAGAAGGCACCTGAGCCTGGAAGTGAAAGGCTCCAATATGTCTGCCCCAAGGGTACTTGTGGGATAAAAATTGGCTCCCTATACAGTGGGGAAAGGTGATTACAAGCGAAAGTTACCCCTTAATCAATCTTCATGGCTCTTCATGGAACAGTGTTCAGAAAATAGTGGTTTTAGCACGATTGGGGCTGAGTTTTCAGCCTCCAAATATCCAATAGGCTTCCTTCAATCACAGTCTCTGGCACAATTGCTTAACAAACAGCCTTCAAATCTGTCACATACACAGACCACTGTGATCATAGCCTGCTGCACAAATCCAGTGACCAGGGGCAGGACTTTCCAGATTAATGATTGTTAAGCCAACTGAAGAAAAAAATGAAGTTTTAGAACCTCAAAAAATAAAAAGCACAGAGGGCTTTGGCGTACACCTTTAATCCCAGCACTTGGCAGAGGGGGAGACCGGCGTATCTCCCATTTACAGACCATTTTAGGCTACAAAGCCAGTTGCAGGACATACCAGGATACATGTGACCCTTTTAAAAAAAGGGGGGAGGGGGGCAAAGGATTTGCTGAAGGGGGTACTAGTGGAAGGAGACTGTAGAGTGATAGGTAAATAGCAAAGTTACATTTTTGAACTGTGGGAAGACACACCGTTACAATTTTATTAGCTTTGCCCTTCGAAGATGATTCACAATTACATACAAATCTGCAATTGTAAAATTTTACCTTCTGTAAATGCTCGGCCGACTACTGTACCCAAGCATCCGTCTGTGTGAAATACAGCTTACTGTAAACTTAAGTCTTGAAATACCTTATTTCATGGAATTGAGAAGGGAATAGAAGATGGCAAAAGGAACCCAAGACAGACTCATTTGGTGTTAACAGTCTTTGTCCAAAAGAGAATCCTGTAAATGACACAACCACTCTAGACTTATCCAGGGAAACACCTTTGAATGCATATTAAAACAACCCTAACAAAATGGGAAAGGACGTTACAGCTTTTTTTTTGGAAGATGGGTGGCTCTAAGAAGAGCCTTTAAAAGTGGTTGATTAAATGGGAGGAACACTTTAAGCCCTCTCCCCGCGGATGCGGCGGGCCAGCTGGATGTCCTTGGGCATGATGGTGACCCGCTTGGCGTGGATGGCGCACAGGTTGGTGTCCTCGAAAAGACCCACCAGGTAGGCCTCGCAGGCCTCCTGCAGCGCCATCACGGCCGAGCTCTGGAAGCGCAGGTCGGTCTTGAAGTCCTGCGCGATCTCGCGCACCAGGCGCTGGAACGGCAGCTTGCGGATCAGCAGCTCGGTCGACTTCTGGTAGCGCCGGATCTCGCGCAGCGCCACGGTGCCGGGCCGGTAGCGGTGCGGCTTCTTCACGCCGCCGGTGGCCGGGGCGCTCTTGCGGGCGGCCTTGGTGGCCAGCTGCTTGCGCGGCGCTTTGCCGCCGGTGGACTTGCGAGCGGTCTGCTTGGTGCGAGCCATAACAGTAAAGGACAGAAGGAATGAAAATAACTAAACAGCACAAGGGCTGCCTTTATGTAGGTTTGCTTTCGCGCGTGCGCACCAGCTTGTTCCCCCGCCACCCCAGAGAAACAACCTGATAGGCTTGCGTCACTTTTCAAAAGGCCCGCGCAATAGTACGATTGGCTGAGGATTTCAAGTGGTAATTTGTTAACTTTTGCAAACTGATTGTGATAAATCGCTAACGGTAAAACAGGTTTTAGCACACTAAAAACATTTGTTTTAGCAGAATAAAAATATTTGTTTTAGCACACCCTAGCTTTCTTAGATTTGACTGCACGCTTCTCCTGTATTGAACCGCTTGCTGAACTTGAGGACAAGAAACCGGACTTTAACATGTCATGACGCTTAAGTTCCCAAAAGGCACTATGGAAAACATGTTGGCCACCCTCCCTTGGGTTTCTTTTTTTTTTTCCATTCTAGCGCATGGACTGTAATGTTGTAGCTCGAAGCATAGTGTTCTAGGAGGGTGGAATGTCACCAAGAGGACAGCATGAAAATAACGGGAACACATCAACTAGCCCCAGAATGCTGCCTTGTCACTTTCGGTAAAGCCTTATTCTAAATAACAATTTCAAAAAAGCCCTTGAGCTGACATTGGCTTCTTCGATCCTAGGCACTTTCCAACCTTCCTGCCCTGGAATATTTTAAAGGCACTACGCGAAGCGCTAAATGAAATAAATTCTGTCCAAGGTACAACAGCACGTTTATGCGATATCCGGATTCTCTGCTTGTGCAAGACAATTAAGGTAACTTCAATTCAGTTATTGGAATATGGTTCCATGCTTCTTGCACTGACATAGTGGTTTTACCGATCACAAAAAAATAGTTTAGGTTACT